CACAAAAGATTAAAAAAACAACTTCAATAACAAATTTTACAGTTTTATACAAATAAAAATCAATTCGGCTAGACTAAGGTGGAAAAGTTGTTTGGTTAAACAATCTTCACAATAAATATCTCTGATTAACAATGATGATGGCAAGTAATAGTACTAGCTAACATTTATAGAGAACTTAACTATGTGCCAGGCAGTATGCCAAGGACTTTATAATTATTATCTCATCTGATCCTGACAACAACCCTGGGAGGCAGGTGCTATTATTATAAACTCCATTTTACAGATGAGGAAACTGAGACAAACCAAGGTTAAATGACTTGCCCAGGGTTGTACAGCTAGGAACTGTCTGAGGTTGGATTTGAACTCAGGTCTTCATAACTCTAGGCCCAGGCTCTATCCACTGTGTCACCTAACTGCTTGCCATTTAATATAACACTTTCAAATTAAAGTTTGCAAAGTGCTTTTCATATATTATCTTGTTTGGTCTTGCTAGCAAGAGTATGAGATAGGTGTCTATTTTTATCCCCATTTTATAGAAGAGGAACTGAGGCAGAAAGCTAGTGTTTATATGGGCTAGGTGGCACCGTGGATAGAGCACTGGGTTCAGAATCCAGCCCTAGATACTTAGTGGCCACATGATTCTGGCAAGTCATTTAACCCCATTTGCCTCTATTCCTCATCTATAAAATGAGCTGGAGAAGGAAATGGTAAATTGCAAACCACTCCAGAATCTTTACCAAGAAAACCCCAAATGGGGTCACAAAGAGTCAGACATGACTAAAACGCTGAACAATTACAATAACACAACAGTGTGTGTCTAAGGTGGAATCTAAAAACCACATTTTCCTGGCTGCAAAACAAATAATCTACCCATTATACCATGCTGCCTCCAAGATATATAGTGAATTGATACCAATATAGGAGCCCTTCCCTAGTAGATAAATGGTCAAAGAATATGAACAGGCAGTTTTCAAAAGAAGAAATGCAAAAATTCTATGCAAATGTTGGTTATCATATAAAGCATGCTCCAAATTACAACTAATAAAATAATAATAATAATTAGCATTTGTATAGTACATGAAGGTCTGCAAATTTTTTTCATGTGTAATCTCATTGCAAACTCACAATAACACCATGAGATGGGTGCTATTATTATCCCCATTTTGCAGATAAGAAAACTGAGGGTTAGAGGTTAAATAACTTGCCTCAGATCACATAGCTAATAAGTATCCAAGGCAGGATTTGAATTCAGGTTTATGTTATGGGACTAAAGGTCCGGTATTTTAGCTACTGTGCCATCTAGCTGCCAATGCAAATGTACCTTGAAACAATCTGACCTTTCAGATTACAAAAGACAAGAATGGAAGAAATGTTCAAGGGACAGCCAGCAGACAATCACATTCATAAAGGATCTGTGAATTGGTCTGACCATTCTGTTAAATGATCTACAATTCTTTGAAAAAGTCTTGAAAATGTCCATGCCCTTTACCCTAGCAATTCCACAAATGAGCATTAATATTTATATCATGGCAGGAAATTTTTGTATTTTTTGTAGTAGCAGATACTAGAAACAAAATATGTACCTATTGATTGGGGAATAGCTAAATCAATTGTAGTAATTTATGTAATGAAATATTAACTTGCTATTAAGAAACAACAAGATTTCATAAAATCTTCTGAAGGCTCATATGAACTAAAGCAGAGTGAAGTAAGAACCAGGAAAAGGATTTGTGCAATAACCATAAATAATATGAAGGGATACAACAATGAAAGGCATCAGAACTCACTTCAGTGCAATGTAATCTTAATTTCAGTCACTCAACAAGCATTTATCGAAAGCCTGCTTATTACTATGTAACTCCAGAGGACTGAAGACGAGGCATATCTCTATTTCTTAGCAAAGATGTTGTAACTATAGATGAACAATGAAACAACAAATGGCCAGTGTATTTGGATTTGGGGGGTTTGTTTTGCTTTCTTTTTCCTTAATTGTACCTTTTGTTACAAGATAGGATTCTATGGAGGAGGAAAGGTCATTGGAAAGTGATAGTCTTTTAAAAAACATCAATATATCACTTTTAAGTGTTGAAAAATATGGACGGTAGCACATTGACAAGTGCGAAAAAGGATTGTGGTCCTCATGAAGACTTGAAAAAGCAGCAATAGAATAAGAATTCATTGTTATAGATACTTCATTGTCCAGCAAAAAGAGATAGAAGTGAGTGCCCTTAAATATTCTAATCTGTAGGGCAGGTATATGCTAAGATTTTGTGGATACCTTATATAGAAATGTGAACCACAAACCTGGCATGCCCTGATAAAAATATCCTCTAAGAGTATTCAGCTTCTTTTATTCAATGATTACATACTCACCAAGCAGCCTAGGTTAGGTGTGAGCTAGGTAAGCTATAGTTTAAAGCTTCAGTATGTGTCAAAAGGATCCTACTCAACTAGATTTCCATAATACCATTGTATTGCAAAGGGGGTGACCTGACCCATATTCTTGTCTCCACGAGACTATTTCCATTGTACACAAACAAGTTGGCATTATTGTTTATACATCCTTCTCTAATGGGTTTAGTTAGCATACTTCAATTCCTCAGAGACTGATCAATGGAATTAGAAGACTTAAACATTGAGAAGAAACACGAGAAAGCAATGTCATGAAACCTAGAGAGAAGAGAGAATATCAAGGAGAAGAGTAATTGATGATATCAAAGGCTATTGACTATTTATAGTCAACAGCCAATGTTGGAGATCCTGTGGGAAGATAGGCACACATGTACATTGTTGGTGGAAGCAGTGCAACCATTTTGGAAACAACTTGGAATTATGCGAATAAAGGCACTAAAGTATAAATATCCTTTGACTCAGAGATTCCATTATTAGGCTTATACCCGAAGGAGGTAATTGATAAGAAAAAGGTCCTCATATACACCAAAATATTTATACCACTAGTTCTTGTGGTGGCACAAAATTGGAAACAAAGCAGATGTCCATTGAGTGGGGAACAGCTAAATAAACTGTGCCATTGAATATGCTGGAATATTATCATGCTATAAGAAATGACTAGCATGATAAACACACAGGAAGATTTATATAATCTGATGTAGAAGGAAATAAGCAGAGCCAAGAAAAAAATACACAATGACTGCAATAATAGAAATGGAAAGAACACCCACAGGAAAAAAATAAAAGAATGTTGCACAATTACAAAGTACAAGCATTGTCTCAAAGAAGAAATATGAAAACAACCATTGAATTGCAATCCTCTGCAGCAGTAGGAGGGGGTGCACAGGTGTTGTTTTTGAATAAATTTTCAAAATGTTTTCAATATGCAGTATTGATCAGTTTTGTGGACTTTTTTCTTTTCTTTTTCTTTAAAAATATTGTTAGTTATATGGGATGGCTCTTTGGGAAGAGGAGTGGGAGGGAAGGATACTGGGAGAATTACGTTTAAAAATTAAGGTAAATATTATTTGAAAAATCTTAAATGCTTGTCGACTGAATAATTAAATATAAGAAATTCAAGAAAACATGAGAAGATCATTATAAAATGAAGGCAGCAGAACCAAAAGAACAATATTCTCAATGATTCCAACAATGTAAATTTTTTAAAAAAACTAGACCAAAGGGAAACTAATTCTAATAACTGGTCTGGAGCTCAGAGAATGAATCATGAAATTTACTTCCCTTATCTTGTAATGGCTATAATATAAGCATTAAAAAATATTAAAGGATGTTAGATGACCACTATATTTCAAATAAAATTATTAAACAGTTTTACTAGACAGGCAGAAGGCTGCAAATCTTGTCAGATATGGTCCTGGTGTCAACTGTTAACTGTTTGGTTTTTTGTTTTTGTTTTTGTTTTTTTGTTACAAGAAAGGGTTCAAAACCAGTGTTTCGGGTTGGAGTGTATATACAGAAATAACTGTAATGTAAAAATGAAAGGGTTTAATAAATCTTACTTTTGAAAAAAAAAGTTAAGTAGTTGAGGTAAAAAAAAAAAGTTTAAATAAACTCTCAGAGTAAAACCCCCCAAACCACCTTCTCTTCCTAACTTTCCTATATTATTTGTCAAGGATATCATCAACCTCCTAGTCACCCAGGCTTGCAACCTATGTGTCATCCTCGACTCCTTACTCTCTCACACCCTTCCGCATCCAAACAGTTGCCAAGTCCCGTTGATTCTACCTTTGTAACATCTCTTGTATACCCTCTTCTGTTTTCAGATCCTTCCACCTCTCTGGAGTGTCAGCTCACCTGGAATATTGCCAATAGCCGTCTGGTTGGTTTCTCTGCCTTTCTCCAGGCTAATCTACTCTTAGCAGTAAAAGTGATCTTCCTAAATCACAAATCTGGTCACTTTCCCACATCCAATAAACCTCAGTGGCTTCCTATTACCTCCAAAATCAAATATAAAATCCTCTGTTTGGCTATTAAAGACCTTCATAACCTACCTTTCTAGTCTTCTTGAACTTTATGCCCCTCCATTTATATTTAAGATACAGCAGCACTGACCTCCTTGCTTTTCCTCACTCAAGATACTCCATCTCCCAACTCTGGGCATTTTCACTGGCTGACCCCTTGCATGGAATGCTCTCTTTGCTCATTTCTGCTTCCTGGCTTCCTTCAAGTCCCACCTTTGTCAGGAAGCCTTTTCAATCCTCCTTAATCTTAGTGGCTTCCCTTTGAGTTTACTTCTGATTTATCCTATAATTGTTTTCATGTTTCATCTAGTAGATTGTGAGTTCTTTGAGAGCAGAATGGGTTTTTTGCCTTTCTCTGTACTTAGCATAGTACCTGTCAGCTTGAAGGTGCTTCTTGATTTAAAGAGAAGTCAAAATGTTTCATTGTTTTATTTGAAACATAGTGTCCATTGAACAGCCTTCAATATCTTTAATTGTTTATATTATAGCAGTTACTCTAGTAAATATCAATATCTCTGAGTCAATTTACTTCAAACTTACTTTATAAAGCAATGACTTGTAGAGATCTTCAGCTACTTAGCCTAACTTGCAAAACTGATTCAGATGTCTTGGTCAAGCAAAAGGAGAAATGACAGGGTGTATCTCTATGATTCCAAAACAACCTATTGAAAAATGAAAAAAAAAAGTATTAAGATTTTTCAACCAGTTGTTTTGGGTATATAACAGCACCCTCTCACTCCTCACCCCCCCCCAAAAAAAGACAAACTACTTACATGGATTCCTTTTACTAATTTAACTGAAATGACCACTCGTTGTGGCTAGACAGGAATATAAAGCTCAGCTCATCCTGAATATGATAATTCAAGCTGGTAATACTAAGATGCCATCATATGCAGAGGGATGACTTAGAAAGGAAAATTGTTTTTACTATTAATAGAAATTTCCATTTTTACCAACATCTAATATTCACTCACTACCAATTTTAAAATAATTTTATATGCTACCTTCGTAGGTTCCAATTTAAGTTTTTAGGATTCCTAGGCATACTGAAGGACAGTCCACATAATCATTTCTATTTTTCATGTATGTATGTTTTTTCCTGATACGACTTCCCCCGCTTCCTTCATGCTGATCTAGGAAAATAAAAAGTCTCATCCATGGGATTCTAGGACTTGTTGGGTACCTAAGACCACACAGGTTGCCGTACCCTGGCACAGTGCTTGGCTTATAGTAAGCATTACATAAATGTTAGTTATTGTTGTTGTTATTATTATTATTATTATCCTGGTGACCTACTGACCAGATGGGTTTCTAGATGGGATGGGAGAGGAAGCTCACTTAGAGAAGCTGTGTCCTTGTTTTATACTCTTGATGCAATGGAGCAAAGTAAATCTCTTTCTTGAATGTTGAGCACCTCGGTGAGTGCCTCACTTTGTCCCAACATAAGGTATGTAATAGTGAATGGTAAGGTGGCCTCGTCAGCAGCCCTTTCATCTCCAAATGTTATCAGCATCTAAGACTCCAAGTTGCAGAGGAGGAGATGACTTGCATTGGTGGAACGAGTTTCTTCAGTGGGAGTCCCCTGTGAAATCAGAGGTCAAGTTCAAAAAACAACAAAGAGCTCATTGTCATTCCAAAGCAACTAAACAGACTGTGTCTGGTTTCTCTCAGAACGCCAGGGAAAATGATATATGTAAAGAAACTTTTAATCTTTTATTTAACATATTAAGACGTTTGAAAAGGTTATTAAATATAGCCAGTTGGTGGGCTGGGCTTGGGAGACCCTTCTATTTTTGAAGTAAGGTTGAGCTTATCATCTATTCAACTACTGTTAGACAGGGTTTGGGATAAATTGGGTTCCTCCAGGACTGGACTGGCAAGCTTTGGGAGCTTTCCTTCCAGAATAAAGTTCAAGACAGCAGGGGTTGGTAATGAATCTCAGGATGGTATCAGTGCAGGTGTTCTTAGATGGCAGAGGAAATGAAATGTTTGGTGAGGCAAGCCAAGGGTTGATATGTGGAGGCATAGGTAGCCAGGTAAGGCCAAGGTCAGCTCAGGTTTCAGAATGATTTTGGAGTATTAGTGTGGGTCAAAGCTGCTCACTAGAGTTGATCATCTGGAGAAGCAATATAAGACTTGATGCTGATTGGCTAGGGAAAACAAGGTGTGATAGGACCAATGTTTTTCCTAATACAACTTCCTTCAGCCCCAGCTTCCCTTAAGCTGATCCAGGAATATTAAAAAAAAAATCCCAACCATGGGGAGCCTGGGTCTCTCAGATTTGGTGAGTGCCTGAGACCACACAGGTTGCCATACACTGACACTGTGCCGAACACACAGTAAGTGCTATGTAAATGTTAGTTGTTGTTATGGAGAAGGAAATGGTAAATCACTCCAGTATCTTTGCCAAGAAAACCCCAAATGCGGTCACAGACAGTCGGACACAAATGAAAAGACTCAACATTGTTATTGGTGTTGTTATTATTATCCTGATAACTTACTGACCAGATGGAGATGGGGGAGGGGGGGCGGTGCTCATCCAGAGAAGCTATGTCCTTATTTGATATTCTTGACGCACTGGGGTAAACCTCAAAGAGTTAAACCTCTAGGTGCCAAATGTGGCCTCTAACACTTACTAGCTGTGCGACCCTTGGCAAATCACTTAACCTTGTTTGATTCAGTTCCTCATCTGTAAAACAATTAGCGGAGAAGGAAATGGCAAATCACTCCAGTGCCTTTGCCAAGAAAGCCCCAAAATGGGGTCACAAAAAGTTGGACCCGACTGAAAAATTACTGAAGAACAACAAAAAACCTCTTTGTTAAATGTTGAGGGCCTTTCTGAGCACCTTACTTTGTTCCAACACCAAACCTCTACTGAGAAGGTGGTATCTTTAAGGTAGAGCCCCTAACATTTGGCAGAGTCTTGGAAGGTTGGGACAAGAGGAGATGACTTCATGGCTCCCTTCACAGCTGAGCTGGGGAAAGAGCCCTGCAAATATAAGGGAGGAAGAGGGAAATGAAGCCACGCTTAGGAGGGAGCTTTCAGTGTGGGTCCTTAACTACAGTGGTTGATAAATAAGTAATGGCTAAGTGGGGGGTGTTGTGAGAGCAGGGTGAGGAGGGGCTGGTAAAACTATACAGGGAATTTAGCATCAGGGCCCTAGGGGCCCTTTAGATCACCCAAGCTTGAGGTAGCCTCAAAAGCCCTGTCTAACTTGGATCATTCAAGGGAGGCTATAGAGGGCAGTCCATGGAGAGAAAGGGAAATATAGGTTCACTCAGTATTTGTGTGGGCCCTTTTAGCAACTTTTAGGCAAATCGCTATAGGTAGGGCTAAATGGTAATCCATAGAATTAACCTGAACTATCCCATGTAGTTAATGCCATACAGTTGTTCAGCCTTCTGAATTAAGGAGGACCAAAAAGACATCACCATGGTGGCATCCAGGTACAGTGTGTTTGACCACGGCTGATCAGACTAATACAATTTTAGAAAGCTCTACCACAGGTCTGGCACAAATAGTCTGTTTGAACATTTGAGGTGGAGAGTTCTCTAAATTCTAGCATTTCACTTTTCTTTTAAGCTACCCTGATTCTGCTTTGCTCATAGAACGTAGCTCCTTTCATTGATGCAGGCACACCATGTGCCGCTGTCTCCCATGTCTTACAACTGACGCTAAAATTCTTCAAAGAGACCTTGAGAGTGTCCTTGTATTGCTTCTTCTGACTTCTGTGTGAGCACCCGCCTTGTGTGAGCTGTCCATAAAATTGTCTTTTAGGCAAACATACATTTGGCATTAGAATGGTGTGGCCAGCCCATCAGAGTTGCGTTCTCTGCAGTAAAGTTTGAATGCTTGGCAGCTTATTTCAAGAAAGTACCTCAGTGACCAGTACCTTGTCTTACCAGGTGTTTTATATTTTTGCAACTAGGGCAAAGCAAACCTCTGTTGTTAAACATTCAGCGACTTGTATCTCATTTTGTCCCAATATCAAACCTAAATAAAGAGGGTTTTGCCATTAGAGCCACACCTCCAATGTAGGGGTATAGTTAGGATCAGAGAAAGGGGACAATTAAGGGATGTTCTTAAGTTACAGCAAAACAAAACACAACCCAAATGGCATAACCTGGTCCACATACAAGGTCTGGAGCACTGTCTTCCAGGGATCCCACTTTCATTTTTTGTTGAGCTGATTTTTATTCCCCCAAACAGCCAATTGAGGGCATGTCATCTCCCTTAACAATCAGTCCATCATATTTGGTATCAAGTTTAGAGATTCAAGTTCCAATTAACCTGAAGCTTTGTAGTTATAACAGTCACAGCATAATTTTTTTTCTGTTTTGTTTTGTTTTTTAATGCATTGCACCTAGACTTTAGCAGTACGATTAGAGGGCCAATTTGACCCTTTCTTCTGGTTCTTTGCCAACAACTCTACAAAGTTACTCTCATTAACCAGGTCAATGAGTAGATCCAGTTGGCCAGGAGTTTTTAGAGAAAATGGTTATTCATTTGCAAAGCAAATACCTCAACTACTAGTTCAATGGCCTTTCTTTCTCCAGAGAGTCTTCCTCAAGTCCCTGTGGGGCTGAGTATTAGTGATGAACAGGCCGTTCTGCTTCACAGCCAGACTGGTTCCTCAAAGACTACTGGATGAGTCAATTGGCTACTGGGCTGGGCCAAGCAGCTCAGGTCACTCATCCACTGGGCTGGCACCTCCCCTGGCACAGTTGGCTGACTACCAGGTAGAGCTGTTGCTAGACTGGGCCAGGAATTCTGCTTGTTCCCTGGGCCAATCCTTCAATGGGTAGGTGAGGTGTCTACTCCATCCAGTCTCTGGCTCAGCTTGAAGTGTTATTACAGTCTTTCAGAAACGGTAGTGACCTTTAGCTGAGGATTGGCAGAAAGCCTCTACTTTTGACTCTTTCTAGGCCTTGGCACTGAGGTTTGCTACTCCAGGAAGGGGAGTCCTTCCTAGTTCAGAGTTAGGTTGTCTCATCCAACTCCCATCCTTATTCATTTTGACCACCATTGAAGTCTTATATAAATGAGCACCTAGTATGTATAGGTCACCTGAATATGTCCTCCATTGGTATACTGGCCACTTTGTAAAAAAAAATAGAGTGAAAGGCAGGTGCAAATGAGTCCCAACTCATTTTTCTTCTCCTTACGAGGAGAGGGAAAGGATGGATAACAAGGTTTAGAAGAGAGGATGTTTGTTGGACAAGATTGGAGAAAGGTTACTATATCTTCATAGATCTGGCCAAGTACCTTGTTGCTGCTGTCAGATCCAAGAATGTGGACTGAATAGGTAGCTGACTTGTCCAGTTTGGCATTTTGTGTGTTTCTCAATCAAATGTGTTTATAGCTCTGCAATGGGTTTATTTTTCTGTAGGAAATGATTCCTTTCTCTGATCTCACTTTAGAGAAAACTGAAGCCTTAATGTAGTCCAATCTGTCAACGTCATGAGAACTAGTTAGGAGTCTAACTAGTCTAAACCTCCAAGGACATAGAGAAGTTTGGAGGTAGGAAGGGTTAGGAAGAAAAATAAACAGTGTAGCATCTGCTGGAGAAGAAAAATTTATCCTTGGCTTGCATAAGTCTCAAATGAAATTTCTTAGATCATATTAATATAAATTAGAGTTTCTAGGTTCTCTTCAAATCAGTCCTGGACCCTGAGGCAAGGAAATTGGGATGACTTAAAGTTACTATTCATTTTGCTGATATTTTTACCTCCCAAACCTGTGATCTCATTGGTAAAGAGAACTCCCAAGGAGCAAAGTCTCTCTAGGAGCAAAGGTTGTCATCTGTTCTTAAAGTCTTAAAGTGTGGCCTGGAATGCTGAGAGGTTAACTTAATGATGCAGAGTCAAAAAGCCCTTAAGGGCCAGAGCTCTCCGGGTTGTCCTGGCTCTTAAAGAGTTCTGGGATGCTAGCTTCCGGATGCTATTTACCCATTCTGTCACACTGCCTCTTTCTCTCACATTGGTTTTTAACTTCATTTTTTATTTTGAACTTAATCAGTAAACACATATTTCTTTCAATATACAAAGAAAATAAAACAAGAAAGAGGATCATACAAGAAATTTGAACTGTTGCTGAGTTGAATAATTTATTTTTAAGATATGTATGTGTATATGCATATCTATATATACATCTACATTTATTGTTGTTAACAGTTGATAACAAAGCTGCTCTATTAATTTGTAGCTCAATGCATTTTTCTTTTCTTCGAATTTTAAAATGTTTTATTAATGTTTTTCTCTGCATTTCACTCCACGTGCAGCACCAGTAAAACAAACATATATAATCCATCAAAGTAAGTCAACACATTTGCCACCTCTGAGTATGCCTGTCTCATTCTTCATCTCTAGTGCATCACCTCTCTGCCAAGAGATGGTGGGACACATTTCATCATCCATCTTTTGAAGTCACTGTTGTTTCCTGTTTTGATCAGAGTTCTGAGATCTTTCAAAGTTGTTTTCTTTCATATTATTGTCATCCCTAGTATTTTTAAGGCTCTTTACCTAAGAAGCCATGTAATGCAGGTGATAACAAAAGACTCTTCCCCTTTCTTCCATAAAAGT